TGACCCCAACATGCTCTGGCATAAAATGTGCTCATGCCCATGTCTGCCCACCTGCCCACTCCTCCCCTCCGGACACCCTGTCCATCTCTTCTTTGTCCCCCAAAGAGCTCACTTCCAGCTCAGCAGCCCCAGTAAAGGAGGGACTTCCCATCTGTGCGAGGAGAGCGCCCTCTTCCGTTTCCTGCAGGAGATGAGCAGAGGGAGCTTGCAGGCTGGGCCAGGGCTCCTTACAGGTCAGGTTCTAGAATGTTCCCTGAGACGACTAACCTCAGCCTGTCTCTGGTTTTTCATTCCCAGGCTGAACCGAAACCTGGAGACCTGATTGAGATTCTCCGCCCTGGCTACCAGCACTGGGCCCTCTACGTGGGGGATGGCTACATGGTGCACCTGGCTCCTCCAGGTGAGGCTGGTTCTCCGCTGAAGCTCAGGGCAGAGGTGGGAGTGTCAGCGGCTGCACACTCGTGCGCTGTTCTCACCCAGTGCCCGGATGGCGGGCTCTCCCTGGCCATTGGCTGCATGATGTTCCCTGGTAGGTCTGCAGCCGCTCCTCTTCCTCAGCAGCGAGTTCGTGGAGGACGGACTGTTGGCCTTTGTTCCAGGTGATACTGGGGCTCACTTCCAGCCAACCCACTGTCCCAGGGAAGCACCCCTTTGTGTGCTCCATGTTCTGGGGGCAGATGAGTAGGACACAGCGTCCAGCTGGCTCAGAGGCATGGAAGGAGCGAGGGCCTCCCACTTAGCAGCACCCGTTTGGGGTCCTGGGGCCTCCGCTTGCCGAGCTGGTACTTGCCCGTGTGACTTGCCCCCTGAGCTCAGCTGCACCCTCTGTAGAGCAATGAGAACCCACCTCCCGGTCGTGCAGGGTGGGATGCAGGACAGCACGAGGCAGCCCGGGTGGGGCCTGGCAGGTGCTGGGCCAACCCCCCTTCCCTCCCAGAGCTTCGTGGCATTAAAGCAAAGGCCGAAAGCCTGGGAACCACCAACAGCAGGGAACGGGCCAAATAAAATCGGTGCCTGCATTTCATGGCTGATGGTGCCACCGTGACAAACAGCTGTACAGCAGGTTCGTGCACACACATGTGAATTTAAAAGCCAAATGCAGGCTTTAAAAAATTAGGCTTATTCGGGAATAACTTACTGTTTTATTTTTTTGTTAATCCTCATCTGAGGATATTTTTTAAAATTGAATTTTAGAGAAAGGCGGGGGTGGGGTGGGTGAGAGACAGAGAGAAACATCAATGGTAGATGCTTCTCTCTCTCGCCCTCTCTGTGTACAGGACGATGCTCCAACCAACTGAGCCACACTGGTCGGGTCACATGCCCTTTTAAGAACCAAATAAGAACTGCTGAGGGTTCCAGGGCCCATCACTCACCTTCTCCTGTCAGCTTTCCCAGAAGCCTGGCTGAGGCAGGAGGCGGGCGTCCTGTTAGGGCAAATCCGAGAATTCAGAGCTGGGAGAGTGTGGCCACCACCTGACCCAGGCCCTTCCGTCTGTAGTGCTGACAGCCCCTGAGAGGAGAAGGGACTGCCCTGAGGCCACACGGTGGGTGGGGCTCTGGGTTTGCAGGTCAGGCCTGGGCTTGCCCAGCAGCCTCCTTTCCTACTATTGGAAACATGTCACCCTGGCCGCTGAGGGCCCACCCCCCTCTGGCTGGGCTCACCTGGGGTCTGTGCCCTGTACCCTCTGCCCCTCCTGCGTCTTTCAGGGACGTCTGCGCCCACAGGGGCCTTTAGAGAATCCACATCCTTGGCTTTAGAAATGAGGGAGCCGGAGTCCAGGGGCATCTGTGACTTCTCCAAGGGCACCCAGGCGGGGGCCGGCCTGTGTTTGAGTTTGAAGCCAGGCAGGGA